CACATCTCTGCCCACCGTGAGCTCAGACCCTACTGCCAGGACCCCCTGGCTGGGGTAGGGCTGGTGGCACACAGCCAGCCCCACGCTGCCCCACAGCATCCCCTCTGCCGTGGCAGGGCGCTATGGGGCACCTGTACCCAGGGTACTGAATGCCCCACAACACACACCCGTCTCATTGCTCCCATCGCTCCTGCACAATGGCAGAGTCAGTTCTGAGGACAAGGGGGTATCCCCACAGTCCACCTGTCCCCTGCGATGCCAGGACCAGTCTGTACCCTGCACTGCCTGCCTGCGGAGCTGCAGGGTACACAGGGCCCCCACTCCTTGCCGGGCAGCCCTGGCACAGGGCAGGGAAGAGCCAGCAGGAAGCTCAGCCACGGAGCACCCTTGTGGGGCAGCGAGGTGGTGGACTCTGAGCACAGGTGTGTCAGCTCCCCGGAGTGCAGGAATGGAGGGTCCAGGCTCAGGGATGGGTGTCCCCTTCCCAGCCAGTCCTGACTCCACAGAGCCCAAACCAGCACTGGTCTCCTCAGCCCCACGGCACCCTTGGTCCTGTGGCACCGTCGCTACCCTTGCCCTGGTGCTCCTCGGGGTCAGAGGGGGTGCCAGCCCCTTAAGCAGCCCCAGGCCCATTTGGAGCAGGCACTAGGGCCCAAGGAATGACCCAAAAGCCCATGGGACCCTGACCCTCCCTGCACCCCAAGACCAGGGGCTGCCTGGGCACCAGCAGATCCTCAGACGCTGGGGCCACATGTGTGGGACACACAGCACGTGTGCCCCCGCAGGTGTCGGGGCACATCACACCCGTGGGACACGGCGCACACACGCGTGGCCCAGTCCCAAGCGGGCTCTGACACGCCTGCCTGTGAGCAGCTGTGACGCTGTCCTGAGCGCCGTGTGTGTGCCTCCACACCCTCGGCCTGCTGTACGCACACCCAGCACATGTAAACACACGCAGAGAGGTCACGGGGTGCTCACACCCTGGGCGGCAAACACCGGCCTGGGAACAGGCTGTGGGAACGGCCCGGTGCAGCTGCACCCCGCACACACACAGACACACACAGAGACACACACACACAGAGACACACACACACAGACACAGGCACACACAGACACAGAGACACACACACAGACACACACACAGGCACAGGCACACACAGACACAGAGACACACACACAGGCACACACACACACAGAGACACACAGACACAGACACACACACAGGCACACACAGACACACATGCACACACACTTACACAGGCACACCCACCGGCTCAGTCACACAGGCACACCCAG